ACGCGATCATCAGACAGACTTTAATGAAAAATCTAAATGATCGCGTTACAAGCGTGAAACTCGGAGTAACGGCTAAAAGTGATGTCTTGTCTTTAATTTATCTACAGACTACAATTTATTACGCTCTGCAACTTAACGCATCGACAGTATAGACTCAAGCATCCAGACTTATATATATATATATATCAAGAGCTTGATATATATAGATAGATTCCAATAAATCTCGGTTGTTTATAAACTCGTGTGTCGAGAGTGCTCAATACTACCATGAGTAGAGCAAATATAGATAAAGTTATACGGACACGGTAGTAATTTTGACTCTGTTTATTGCATACAGAACTGTTTCGTGTGGAGAGAAAGCTCCACACTCATCAGTGCCTAATACAGAGTAATCTATTAGAACATCCCGAGCAGTATAAAAACATCATGCATAATGTGATCTATTGTTCGTATTCATACGTGCGCGTTCTAAAGGAATACCATAGATACTAATTAACGCGTCATTGTCGGTAACTGCTGCGCGCTGGCGCTAAACTGAATTCATTGAAATGAATTCATGAAAAACTGAAGTCTAAACATGTTTCTGACGACGAGACGACCCCCCACACCACCTAAAGTATGAGTAATGAGAAGCAAGTGTGGTGGATCTCAAGTGATACAGAATGGGGGGGGGATGGGCGGGCGGGCGAGCGGCGGGCAACTTACCTTTTTTCCCATTATTACACACGGACAAGGTTTCGATTGTCTCTCGCAGTTTCCTCTAAATTGTTCCTTCTGCGAAAAAATAAAAACAAAAGAGCGTCAACGACCATCGGATGGAAAACACAAGAGCATCGATGCCCATCGAAGGGTAAAACACAAGAGTGCATCAATGCCAAACAGAGTAAAAACAAGCCCATCCAGATGACCTTTTTCCAAACAGAGTAAAAACAAGACCATCCATCGGCTCCAGAAGAGTTCAATCGAAACACGAACCAGATGACCTTTTTCGCCAATAAAAATCTGATAAATCCGAGGATTCCAGCATACGTTGCCCGACCGATCCGGCACCACTGACATTTCAAACCCCGCAAAGTCACACACCGACCCGACATCACGAACCCGATCAATCGCCAGACGCGAAAACCTCGTTAAAATAACGCTCGGCAAAAACGGAAGGTTAGGAGGCGTTGCCAAAATCGCAGCGTGGGTACGACGAATCAGGAGGTCAGAGATTCGTCTGCAAACCAAGGGCCCGTTGTCAGAAACAAAACCTGCCTGCCTGCTTGCCTGCCAGCCTGCCTCTCTTCCTGTCTGTCTGCCTGCCTGCCTGCCTGTCTGTTTGTCAGCCTGTATGCCTGCCTGCCTGCCTGCTTGCCTGCCAGCCTGCCTCTCTTCCTGTCTGTCTGCCTGCCTGCCTGCCTGTCTGTTTGTCAGCCTGTATGTCTGCCTGCCAGCCTGCCAGCCTGCCACCCTACCTCTCTTCCTGTCTGTCTGTCTGCCTGCTTGTCTGTATGCCTGCCTGCCTGCTTGCCTGTCAGCCAGCCTGAGTGCTTGCCACTATTCCTGCCTGCTTGCCTGCCTGCCTGCCTCTCTTCCTGCCTGCCTGCCTGTCTGTTTGTCTGCCTGCCTGCCTGTCTGTCTGCCTGCCTGCCTGCCTGCCTGCCTGTTTGTCAGCATGTATGCCTGCCATTTAATTTTGCAACCTCAGACTGCGGACTCCCTCATGTTGCTTGCGGACTCCCTCATGTTGCTTGTGGACTCCCTCTTAAGGGTAGGGAGTCCAAGTCCGTTGGACTCCCGTGTTCAAAAGTCAATTTCTACCCCTGTTCAGTATAGTTGTGATTGTACCGTTGTTGCCCGCCTGACCACAACATTAATGTTCCCCACGACCTCACCCGATCATCACATGCGTCTAAACAGAGGAATTGCTCCGACCTGTGATTGGAGGATAAAAATAGACCCCGCCCACTCCCGCAATGCTATGACCGGTAGGAACGTGTGCGAACAGTCTAACTATCATATGGAGCGAACGATTTGAGTTACATTTCTATAAATTCTAGCTATTATAGCCACATGTCTTAGCCTTAATCTCTGTGAATTTTGAGTCTATTGAAGCACATTTAGTCTAATTAATTAGCAAATATGCACGCGCGGCTATGACCAGCGAAATGAAACGTCACGAAACGTCACGAGTGGGAGGGGTCTATTTTTATCCTCCAATCACAGGTCGGAGCAATTCCTCTGTTTAGATGTCCGATCTCCCCTGGCGGTGTTGGAAACGCACCTGAGAATGAGCGAGAAGTGCGAACGTGGTTGCATCGAACAATCCTAAAGCAGTCGTTGTTGTCTTGTCTTGTCGTTTCTACGCTGCGTGGGTTGATCTGCTTGCCGTTAGGAATGCCTGAGAAACTAAACCAAACACAGAAAAGAACGTTACTCGAGAAACGTTTCGTTTTAAAATTGTGAAATCATTTCTGATTATCAATTAATTATAATTATAGTTATAATGAAAGAGCACAGAAGCGAGAAAGAGCGTTATTCGAGAAACGTTTCGTTTTAAAATTGTGGAATCATAAAATAAACGTTAAATCATAACGTTAATCATCGTTTAATTATAATTATAATGAAAGAACATGAAAGAAATGAATGACAGAAAAGATATGTCATATGAGTAAAACAGTGGCGAGTGTTCCAGTTACAGAGATGCCAACACATATTTGAAGCAATCTGTAGTTTCTGGCCATCAAATTAGTAGTTCGAGGGTAACGTAGTGACCAGAGTTTGCTAGGGGGGTCAGGCATGCCCCCCGGAAAAATTTTTGATTGTGAGATGCAATTTCCTGCTTTGTGAGGGTCAAAAATGACAATAAATTGACAAAAAATGACAAAAAAATAATAATTTCGATCACAGTGAAATTCGTAGTTTGATACAAACTGGTCGTAGTGGTGCAAAATGAATAGAAATTCGTATAAAATACGGATGAATTGTAGTGGTTGGCATCTCTGCAGTTACGATGTTGTTCGAACTGCACAGTCAAGCGCTTAAAATGATATATTT